TGCTCTCAGGAAGGTGGGATCTGTGTCCATCAGTTTCCATAAAGGTACAGTAGGGTTTGAGCCATGCATGGAGCTGGGTGCAATAAGGCAAGTCTTGGAGTAAGCCACCAACTTTTCCTGAATTTTTTTGTGGAAGAACCCAAAATGAGCTCTCTAGTGTGGCTGAATTGTGATATTTTTTTTTGATTGGTACACAAAATACTTTTGATGCTGAAAGTTAAGTTGAAAGTTAACAATGATTCCTTTGTAGCAATCCCTTTTGAAGTAGACAGTCCTATAGCTAAAAGAAAACACTACGCAGAGGGATAAAGTGTGCTTTCAAGTCTATATTTTATATTAAACTATTCTATTGAATATGTAAGTATCCCTGTCCTTGCTTGATTTCTTTTTCTTCAAATAATCAGCAGCCTTTGGCATTCCACACCCTTCTTACAGTAATTTTCAGTAATTTCTTCTGAGTGCTGATACTTGCTTCTGTCTTAGCTATTTGATACTTCAGTTTCTCAGAAAGCTTTTACATCTGTATTCACTGGTCAGAAACTGTTTGGCTGCTTTTTTAATTCCTATCACAACATTTCCTAAACTATATTTTTTTTCCTTTTTTTTTTCTTTTTTTTTTTTTTTATAGAAAACCACTGGTGTTCTCAGCTGTGGCTGTGCTGCCATATCCAGCAGGTTCATGGCAGGGCTGTTACCTGATGAGAATCCCTTTTCCAGGCTGATCTGAGAACAGTAGTAATGGTGGTGGTTGCCTCTCCCAAACCAAGTTTAGCACCAAGCACAAGGGAAAACACCCAGGCTGTGCAAACGCGGCCGCCTTGGGCCCGTCACAGGCTGCATTGCCTCATGTCACGCAGAGCTGTTGGTGGTTATTAAAGGCATCCATGCTCTCATGTTGGCAGCCTACCAGACCCATCTTCTTCCAACTGAGCCTCCAGGCTTATTGTATCAGAGCTCAGGAGAGACGTGCCTGCCCTAGGTGTGTGCTTCTAGTGTCAGTCAGATGGGTAATGTGGGGTAACCGGCCACTCTTGATCACGTATTCTGTGCCTGATTTAAGGGCCCAGTAGATCCTAGCTCAGGGGAGCAATGTGTGTGGCTGCTACTGGGCAATGGGGTTGAAACCTCAGCCTTATGACCGTCAGAAGAGGTACTGTTTGCTGGGTCCCCACAGTTGGACCCATGACGGTGATACACCAAGAACTTGTAATGAATCCTGTGAGTCATTCCATGAACATCCCCATTTCCTATACCTTTGTGCTCAGAGGGAGCCAAATCACTACTCGCAGTGCCTCCTTCCTTCTTCAGCTTCATTCACCACCTCTTCATGGTCTGGGCAGGAAGGACACTTGTAGGAAAGAACATTGATTTTGACCACCACATTGAAATCCATCCTGGAGAACCAGCATTAGTATGGAGTGAGAGCCATTCTGTCATCATCTTCCATGAAGTAACTGCAAAGTTGTGTCTGATCATCACTACAGAACATGCTGTGTGACAGACAGCCTTGCTTAGAGGTCTGTATCTTAGGGATTGTGTTGCATCATACAGTTGATAATCTAAATGTAAATAATAGTAAATAATAGTTGTGTGTTAAAATTTGAATTTCATTAGGTGGAGGTTTTTAGACTTGAACAAAAGATTTTTTTTTCACATAGTGCTGTAACATGCTTACTAGCTTTGACAAAGAGTGTTTCTTTCCCCTGATACAGAAATAGCAGATAATAATAAGCAAGCAGACAAGGTTATGCAGCAAGGGGGTATTTTAATCATCTTTGTTTTGGAGAAGACAGGCCAGAGTGAGGTACCTCTTAGAAACAATCTACTTACTGATACTTGGCTTCAACAGATTGACATCATCTCAGGAAAGAAAATAACTGTTTGCTATTCCTGTCATAGACTTCTTTCAATCACTGCGACAGATGTTCTAAGCATGTTGTTCCTCTGTTAGGTTTCTTTAGCAGTAAAAATACTGTGGTCTAAATATAGTTTAAATTGGTTGAGGTACCTTGTTTAAATATGATTCAAAATTGTGTTATACCTGTTTAAATCAGAGTGTAATAGGACAAAACCATTGGAAAGTCTGGTTAAGATAATTACAAGCCCAGGTAGGAATTCTTATTCAATCATATTTTAAGTGAAATGCTATCTTTTTCTAATATATCTTGCAATCTGATTTAGGATGAACCTGGATAACATAGTGAATTTCCCTTCCCCTGCTCATTATTTGGAATTACCTTAGACAAAAAATGGGAAAAATACTTAAATAGTTCTCTTTTGGTTTTTTTGGGTCGCAGCAGAATGTTTTACATCAGGAATACACAGATTCTATTATCCTTTTTTTTCCAATGAAATGGAGTTTTGTGCTCAGGAACAATTGAGGTGGCTGAGATTAGAGGGAGAACCAGTACACATGCACAAGGTACCCATTACTCCTTTGGGGACTTTGGAAGCCTTTGGAAGCTGAGAAGGCTACAGTCCTTACGACTCCCCCACCCTTTCCTCTGCCAGTGAGTTCCAGTTCAAAGCTCTTCTCTGTCATCCTTCCTGCTCACTTGCTTCTGGGACAGCTAACAGGATGATGCAGGCTGAGCTCTGCTGAACCTGTTGGTGGTAAATAGTCCCTCCTTTTCATTCTCCCACTCATTTTGTACCTAGATGATTGGTTGCTGCCACTTTTTGAGACCACTGGGTTGGGAGCACAGCTTCCTACCTGGAACTGAGTCCTGAGGGTGTGACAGTAACTGCACTGGTGTGCATCCTTTCCAAGTGCAATTCCAGTCAGTGATGTTGATCAGGGGAATGCTCTTGTTTGGATACTAGCTGGCTGGAGCTTTCTGCTCCCTCTTTCTGACACGTATACAGATGAAGTTGCTAAATTGCGGTGTCTGGGACAAGGTGCTCTTTTGTTTCAAAAAATGATGAGTAAAGCAACAAAGTTCAAGGTTTATTTCATCACTTGGACTTTTACTCCAGTGATAGAGACTGGGAGTTCAGCTGTAGAAAATTGAGATCCTCAGTTTGTTACCTGTTCTTGTTTCATTGCTAGCTAACATTATTTAGTAGACTGTTAAAATAATTCTCCAAGAGGGAAGTAAATGTAGGGAGTTACAGGTGCAATGATCTCCAGTGCCTAATGACACTGACTGTTAGCATCCTTTATTTTTTGTGCTTGTTTTTGGGGGAGGAAAGAGAAGCTTATGTGGTAATCACATGCTGCCAGGTCATTGCAGGGAATCTGGTGCCAGCAGTAACACTCTGTTCAAGGTCCTGCTTCTGTGGGAAAACTCGCGGGTGGTTAACTTGAGCATCCAATTTTGAGCCTTCACAGGGGAGGGTGGTTCATGTATGCTTTTTCTTGAAGCCATTTGGGCCCCACTATGATCTCACATAAGGAGACATTTTTTTCTAGATTTGGGTTACAAATTTGGAGTTGGGATCACTCATATTGATCTTTGGTTTCAAGCTTCTTTGTGCAGCAGTGAAGGTTGTAGTTGTTTACTTACTAATTTCATCATCGTACTTATGTTGATTTAGTGCCCATAGGTATTTAAGCTGTGAGAACAGTGAGAAAGACTTTAACATCTAATTTTCCCCCTTTGTGTTCTTATAATTAAAAAGAAATCCTACAGCATTCATCCAAGGAGTCACTGTAAAGTTCATGGTTAATTTCACTATCCATGGACAGCCGAATGCACTTCTGGGACTTTTTTGCAGCATGATCGGGGCCTTCTCTTAATGTTTCTATGACAATTTAATATTCATTTGGGTTTAGAATGAAAGAACAAAAGGATTCTTCAGCATTCAAACTGGCTGCCTAGGGAAGTGGTTGAGTCGCCATCCCTGGAGGTATTTAAGATGTGTATACATGGCACTTAGGGACATAGTTCGTGGTGGACTTTTCAGCACTGTGTTAGCAGTTGGACTCAATGATCTTAGAGGTATTTCTAACCTAAATGACTAAATGGTTCTAAGATGCAACCTACTACTTCCTGAGTTTGCTCTCCTGTTTGAAGGGCTGAGTGAGGCACATCAGGAAAGTTGTGGTATCTGGGTTTCAAACTTCATCTCTTTTGACCACCTTCCATGCCAAGTATAGGAGCATGGTGAGACCTTTAGTTCTTGAAAGGTAGATTGGTTATTTAGGGACAGACATTTGAGATTATTCTTCATTTCTTTGTCCATATTTGTTTATAATAACAAGGCTTCCAGGAAGAAGATACTGCCTTTAGTTCAGGATTTAGCAGGGCAAATTACTTCAAGTGAGAAGAAGTTTTTTGGAGGTGAATGTAGCAGAAGTGTTCCTGCCTGCCTGTAGCATTTGGATATACCTAATAAGGATGGGAAATACCCTGACCTTAAGATAGCCTTCTGCCCTCCTACTTTGCCATCTGTTTCAAGACCTGCAAAAGATTTCACTGCTTCTCACACACTATTCTACCAAGGTGGTCTCCCAGAAAGGGAAAAAGAAGAGTTACCTAACAGTGTTTTCCTCCAAAACTGTGTGTTATGGAATTCAACCAAGACCCTGATTTTAGCTCCAGTAGAAGTCTAAAACTGGCACATATTGTTTTCCAAGCTCCTTTTTTCTGTATGTATAAAGAAAGTGAATGACCAATAGTTTAGTATGTGGGGTAGAATATTCCTAAATAGCAGCAAAGTAGAATGGTTCTTGGGAAGAGCCACAACCACCAATTCACTAGTTAGTGAGCTTTCCTACTCCATTAGGGGATACAATTACTTTCTCAGAAATCACCAGTGGAGTGCTTAGAGGAGAGGAAATGTGCTGTGATACAGAAATGGAACCCATTTCAGATATGATACCCTCCTGTTGAACATTTATGAACTGCAGCAGTTGTATGTAAGGCTTGGGCTTGTTACATATGCTTAGCTTGTCAAAAGTTTCTCGGGGCATTAAGGGCAGGCAGTGTCATTTGTGCAACAGGCAGAGCTCTCTGCCCGTGGATGTAACAGTGACCTTACTTGAACTGATAAATAGCTGTCTTATCCATGACCTTTAATAGCTGAAATGTGCACATCATCTACAGCCTTTTTCAGGTTTGCTTCAAAAGAGATCACTGGATAAAGCACATGTACGTATGTATGCAGTACTCTGTGTGATCTTCTCTGGCTTCTAACAGCAGATCAAGAGAATTCCAGAGTTTAGGAGTAGCAGAGCAATCACTTTTCCATGTGCTCTTTCTTCCTCAGGAAAGGTATTCATTCATAGGGATGCATGGTGTTGTGCAGCCAGCTGATCTTAAACAAAAATAAAACACGACAGAATGTAATGTTGGACTTTATCCTCTTAATGTAAAATAAGTACTACCTTCTGTTTGCATTCTCTGGTTTAATTTGGAAGAAGACAGAGACAATATTAAAATATAATGAGGGCAGTTAATTTTGTGGTTCACAGTGGCTCAGATTTAGAAGGGAAAAAACCCACCTTAATCAGCACAGTACTTAAGGGCTCCCTGTAAGAAGGTTGTGCTTAACCTTCAGCAAACGCTTAAGGGCTGCCCTGAATAGTAATGGATTTAAGCACATGCTTAAGTGTTTTCCTGTAGGAAGACCTAAGCATCTTCTCAAGTGTTAGATTACAGCTTCATTTACCTTATTCATAAATCCCAGCATCAGAGGCAAACTTTTCTTTCATCTCTTGGCAGATATTTGGGTGTATAGATTTTTCCACCTCCGTTTGCCCTGCTTTCCATGGCTCTCTTGCTGCAATCTGATCAGCCCAGGCTGACCTTCAGGGGTGCTCCACATGGTTCGGGAGCCTGCCCGCATGGCTCCGATTGCACGATCAAAGTCCGTACCTTGGCTTTCATCTGCCGGCTCTCTGCCCTTCCCAGGGTTATTAATTTGAAGAACTCAAAGGCGCAAGCCCTTTCTGCTGCGCCCGTTCCCCGGGAAGTAGGAATAGGAATTGGCAGGTTGTCCAACGGCTTGGCTGTGGTCAGTTTTCCATAGTGGGAGATGGGATTGCAGAGGGTTAAATCTGTACCAGCTGGTTCTTGCTTGGTTGGCTGTCGGAAATGCAAGGAAAAAAAATGAAAAGAAAAAACAAAGCAGGAGAGGAAAAAACCCCACACCAACCCTACAAAAATATGAGGGGAGGGGAAAGGAGAAAAAAATAAAAAGGGTGGGGGAAGGAGGAAACAAGAAGAAAGAGGGGAAAACAAAATAAAAAAGGTGAAAAATGGGAAGAAAAAAGGGGGAAAGAAAAGAGTACAGAGGGGTGTAAAGGGATACAAAAAAAGTAAATAAGAACAAGAAAAAAAGAAAATTAAAATGGGGGAAGTAAAACGAAAAATGGAATAAAGAAAAAAGGGCAAGGAGGGAAACGAAGGAGAAAAGGGGAGGAAGAAAAAAAGTATCACGGGGAAAGGAAAAAGAAAGAAGGGAGAAGAAAGAAGAGAGAAAAAAGAAGAGAACAAAAAAGGAGGGGGGAAAAGGGGAGGGGAAGAGTAAGGAACAAAAAAAAAAGGTGGGGAGAAACCCCCCAGGCGAGCGCGCCGCCCCCCGCGCCGGCAGGAGCCGCAGGCCGCAGCCCCGGCCGGGCCGCCCCGAGGCCGCCGCGGGGGCCCGGCCTTGCGCGGGGCCCGGCCTTGCGCGGCTCTTGCGTAAGCGGCGGCCCCGCCGCCCTGCCGGTGGTGCCGTTGCCATGGCGAGATAGCGGGGGAGGATTCCTGGGATCCGTAAGCCGGGGGAGAGGGACAGATTACGTCTTAACCCGTCACTTCGCGGCGCCTAACGTGATGTGGCAGGGTCGCCCAGGTGTCCCGGGGGGGTGACCCGGCGGGCAGCTCCGGGCTGTTGCAGGCATCGTTTTAAATAAAATAAAGCTGGGAGGGAGGGAGCGGGGGTGGCTCTCGGGGTAAGAGGATTAGATGCGTTCGTATGGGGGGCAGGATGAGAAAAATACTGCAGGGCTTGAGGGAGGTGGGTTTGAGAAATTGGCCTCGATGGAAACGGGAGGCATCCCTCTTTATGAACATTCCTAGTGCCTGCTGAGAACTGCCTGGCAGGTGCTGGAAGGGGATTCTTTTAATCTTCATCTGCATATTTTATTATCACATTTAGTTGTCAGCGTTTTAATCGTAAGATGTGAACATAAACACACCCTGAGAATCTCTAAGCAGCAAGTCCAAGTACCAGCCCTATGCTGATACCAAGCCTAGATCAAATCATTGACAGATGTCTTTTACATGAATGGAAGGAATGACGGGAGAAGGCATCAGTGTCTGCTTGGGTAAGTTTCCTTTCCCTTATCTTTAATCATTGTTAGTATTTTACACTGTCTCTTCCTCAGTGTCAGAGTGGGAGCAGTCAACTCTGGTGGGGTCTTCTTGTGCTTTTGATCTTCTCATTACTCTTTGCCTGCTAGAATTCCTAGAAGCAGGTGAGGATTTATTGAACCCTTTTGCCGTGGTGTCTTCTTGGTCGCTGTAAGGATGTCATTAGAGCAGGAAAAAACTTGATAAATTCCGATGTTTGATTTTAAATTTGGAAAAGATGATGTCTGGTCTAGAATTGAGTATGAAAAATACTGGTCTCCAAATTTACTGTGTTGTAAGCATGTTTCTTAAGAGAGCAGCCCCTACCTGTGTTAATAATAATATTCCATTGCCAGAAAAGAGATGTGTATGGGGCAAAAGCCTTAAGTGAATTTAACATTCTTAAACAGTTTTCCAGCAGTGGGGTAAGAAATGTAAGAGAGAATACTACTGGGAAATGAGCTTGCGTTACACCCACAGAGCATATACTGTATATTAGTTATAACCCTGTTGTTTTTGTTGCCTGCAATTAATTGAGTAATTTCTTCCATGACTGAAACTGCAGGTTAAGCATGTTTGCTTTGAAAGCCAGTCTTCTGAATTGAGACGGCTTTTGCACTTACCATATATTAACAAGCTCTCGCAAAGTACATTTTGTGCGCTATGGTTCTCAATTCCTGAAAGGTGTCAGTGGGGGTTAATTCACTGTTACATAAACAGCCAATAACAGCTTCCGACTGTACTGGAATTGCTCTAAAATAGTTATTAGCTTCAAGGCCATTATGGAGGAAAAGGCATTTCACTTTTGCAGATATTATTTCTATGAAAAAAACAGAAAATGGACTATGAGAACTCTGAACCATTGAAGTGAGGACACTGCTGTATGAATAGGCAAAGCTGTAGTGTAGCTTTACCACTGGGTTTTACAACTCTGACAAGGTCTTTACCTCCCGGTTATACTTGGAAACCAACAAAATCTTAACCAAGCCAGTTTTCCAGAAGCTGAGCATTTATTGTATGAAGACATTTGAGTAGAGCATCATTGCTTTAGCTAGCAGAGCCTGGGTGCTACCTGTGTGCACACATGCTGATGTTCTAAAAAATCAGAAGTCAGAGCTGGCATCACAAAAAGCCAAATCTTAGAGCAGTACTGAACTGTGGGAGCACAGGAGCAGCACAGAGAGCCAGATGCCGGGGTTTATTGCAGCAGGGTTATTCAGCAGTTCAGCTCACTCCAGGTGGTACAGGAAGAAGCTGAGAATCAGTTTCTGAGCTCCCTGCCTGGGAAGCAGGGGTGCCTGGAGGGTGGAAGATATGCCTGGAGCCATTTCTGGTGCCTTCTGGTTTTGAAACTTCCCATGGGGAATTTGCTAGATAGTTTTGTTGCTGGAGCGTTTATTTAGCAGAGTAGGCCTGGTACCTGTTGAAGCAGCCTGCAAAATTGGCTCTGTGCTCTCTGGGCATGAGCAATTGTTGTTTGCTCAGACAACTGGAAGTGTTTGAATATGAGAACTTTACTTGCATTTAGACATCTTCAGTTGCCCCCAAACTAGCTTACACCTTGACTTTTCAGAAGCTGGAAATACTTCTTCTGCCTCATTTCTAGAAGTAAAAGAGTAAAGGAAGGGATTTTATGTGTAATTCAGCTGGTTTTTGCGTATGACTGCTCATACTGACTGCTACTTTCCAAGAGATAAAGTAATTTTATGTTTTGGTTGTTTCAGCTATAGGAGTTGACTCCTGTTTATTTTAAATGCAGTGTTGTTCTGCATCACCAGCAAGTTATTTATTTAGGTGTCTGAGGGAAACACATGACTTGGCATTAACTTTTCTTTTCCTCCCATCTCCCCTGACCCCAAAGTAGTTCAGCCTGAAACTTGATAAGTTAATCGCAGTTACCTTGGCAAAATTATAAACAAATTAAGATGGATGAAGCCTGGCCATAAAATTATTTTGGATAGGCTGGGAAAATGCAGCTGAGAGCATTAATTGCTGCTACTTTCACTGATACCTTTGACAGTGTAGGGTTTCAGTAAGTAATTCCTCCTTGAAGGAAGGGAAACATGCCATGTCATCTGTGTCACTTCTGTAGCCTTTCTGAAATTCCCTGGATTTATGATTTGTGTTAATCGATGTTTTGTAGGTAAGTCTTTCAGATATTTTCGCTTCCCTGCTATGGAACTAGTCTATCTCTTTATCTTTATTTTGGTATATGTATGCTTGTCACAGGGAATTACACGTTTTTGCACTGTTTAAAAATGGCAGACCCTTACTACAGTCAATATAGTTTTAATGGAATTAATGACATTTTAAATTAAGAAGAATTTTTGCTCATTTGTCTGTTATGGACCATAATTTGATTACAACCCCCAGCAGTGCTGATGGCCCTGGAGATGATAGATGACAGGACACAGCACATACTGTAGGATCAGCTGTTAACGTTGCTTCATCCAGTCCTGCATGTTGTGGAAAGACATTTAGGAGGTGCCTAGACCTCAACCATGGAATTTATTTAGAGGGAGATTTCAGAAGAACACCAAGCTAAATCTTCCCATATTTGCAAGATTTTTTGTGATGTTAAATCTGATGGTGCACATTTTTGTAGTATATTTTACCAAAAGTGAGCCTAAAAATTCACAAGTTGTCTTTCATCCAGGAGGTGGGTAGTACAGTGAGAGTGAGAAGCGGGGATAAGGCTTTTGAATCTTAATGAAGCTAGCTCAGCCAGAGGGGATGTGTCAAGTGGGAGGCAGAGCTGTCTTTAAAGAACCACATGGATATCTTTTGGTGTGGTCTAAGTGTCCATTTGAGACCCTCTACAGATTTACCACACTGTTTCGGTCTTTACTTGTTCGGGTTTTATATATTATAGAGTATATGATTGTAAACCACTTCATACTGAGCACAGTATTCATTCTGGTTGAACATTCATGCCTTATTATATGTCTTTATCATCATTGCAAGATAAATATCAGGGCTTTATGACTTAATAATAAGTTTTATCTTTAAAGATCATTTTCTAACATATTGAAATGGGTTGTTACCTCACCTAGGAGTTATGAGTGTGATTGTTGGGAACACCTGAGAGTTGAGTTAGCTGAATGCTGTTTTAATTGGCAGGAGATTACCAGTTTCTATGGGAAAATGAATTAGTTAAAACCCGTCACAAAGGCCTTTTGAAAATTCTCAACTGTATTATGAAGATTGTTGATTTTGAAATTAATTACTACAAGTTGGAAGAAGAGGGTACTTTCTCAATACCCCAGTTTTGCATTGTCTGTACACAATAATTGGTTTACACTGTATTTAGGAGACGCATACAAAACAGTTGTGTTTTTGCAAAAGTTTTAGCAGTAGCTTTGTGTGGGCCCACTCTGAGACAATCTGATAAGGTCTGATTTTCAGAAAGCCCCCTGCTGAAAAGCAGGCTGGTTTAAGAGAGCTCTGGTTCAGCACTTTGATTCATTAGCTGTTTTGGAAGTCTCTGGTCTCACTAGTTAGTATTTCCTGTCAGAATGTGTAAGGGCAGGAGGATTTTGTGGCCACTCTTGGATGAAAGAATTGTACCTGATGAGGCACTGGCACAGGTTGCCCAGAGAAGCTGTGGATGCCCCATCTCTGGCAGTTTTCAAGGCCAGATTGGATGAGGCTTTGAGCAACCTGGTCCAGTGGAAGGTGTCCCTGCCCATTGCCGAGGCATGGGAACTAGATCATCTTTAAGGTCCCTTCCAACCCAAAACATTCCATGATTCTATAAAATAGTGAAAAAAGCTGCCTTTAAATTTTTGTGTATCATTGGAAAGGGCACGGGTAAATGAGAAGATAGGCTCAGGAGGGCAGGCAAGGGGTTAACTCTAGAGTGTCTCTAAGTAAGTAGTTGGCAATAAAGTATCTAAATATGTCTGTAAGTCTTCAGATGTGCAGGCACTATGTTCCTTAGGAATATAATTATCTTTCCAATGAATTCTTGGAGTGTGGAAATCTTGTTTCATGGACTAAAACTACAAAGTACACAGGAAGGTTGTGTACCAAACTCACATATCCCATGACAAGTTCCTAAACCCAGAGACCAGACTTCCCCTCACTACGAAATTCCCTCACCTGTCCATCATCATCCCACACATTCTCTTCTGCCTTCCCATCAGTGAGCTATGTGGTCAAAA